TTCAAAAGGCTGATGATTATGGTTTTCACTGACCTTTGTGGCCCCTGACCCCTTCTTGTTTTCAATGAATTTCAAAACGTACGTCAAAGTAACATGAATATTTTTTAAGGTCTGATGTGTGACTTTAGTACTCCATTTATTGTTTTGAGCAGTGTACATAATATTCTGTGTGAAGCTGTGTGTGGTACCTTATCAGTTAGACTGAGACTAACTCTAGAAATCAGCATCATCTCAGCCAGGTCATGCCAGCCATGTTCTGAGGCAATGTGTAGTGCGGTCTGCTGCCTCTGTCGCCCACATGACAGACAACCATTAAGTAAAATTACTGTATTATAGGACATTTTATTATGCATTGTGTTCATGTGGCTGTGGAACTTTGTACTTACAATGTCAGTGGCATTCAGGTTGCTGCCAGCATCGATAAGCAATCGTACAACTTTTGTGTGATTGTTGAAAACAGCCAGGTGGAGTGGTGTGCAGTGTTGCTGTTTCAAAGAGAAACAGGTATTAAAAAGCTGCTCTCTATGATATTAACTTTTAAAACGTTTACAAGTGTTTACTGCCTAATTTTAGATTTCTTCTTCATTTTATGCACCAAAATGCTAACATGCTAACATACCACTGTGTAAGAATACCCATATGGAAAAGATATATATAAATCTTATAAAGCTTTGTGTTATGTGAAACTTGTATGAAAAGCATACAAGAGTGAAAACAGATATAAGATCCTTTGATAAATTATATAAATGAAACTTGTTTTGGATACTTACTAAAACAATATATGAAAGTAATGAGAAAGTGGCCACTTTCATGAGTAAATCATATAAGCCTTATATGAAGTAAGCCAAATCTTATGCAAGTCTTTTATAAATTTCTTCTATTTCTTTTGCATATGGGTACTTTAAAAGAATTATCATAATTATTTTTTTCCGGAGATAGCTAACAGTGCTTACATTGTTTATAGCATCTACATTGATTCCTGCCTTCAGCAGCAAGCTGGCCTCTCTGTCATGACCATGCTGTGCCACATAATGGAGAGCATTCATTTTTCTCTACAGACAGAAGATAAATATTAATTCATGAAAATAACACTGCCAACCCACTCTTGAATTGCATATTTAAGTAAACAAGCATACATTAGTTTGTGCATTGACATTACAGCCAGAATCCAGCAGAAGTCTAACGCATTCATAGTGACCTCCGTCAGCTGCCGTGTGCAATGGTGTGAGATCATCCTACAACAACACAATACAACAGGTACAATCAAGGTCAAAGGTTTTTACAGTTTAAAGCTTATTATTCACAAGCATGAAGAAATGTGTTTTTTCAGGTTCAAAATGCTTGAGTGATCCCAAGAGTTTGGTGAGTAGGAATCATTTTTGCTTAGAAGGGTCTTGCAAGGCCAACAGGTCCTGGGTCAAAGGGCCAGGCTACTTGAAACTAGAGAAATCGCTGTGATTAGGAGTCAGCTACCTCACCCAGTTTACTGAGGAAACCACATAAACTAACATTACTAATAGTTTTTCCCCATGCTGTGAAAGTTCTTTTATTTTTTGGCAAATTCAAATCTGGTCTTCCTGTTCTTGAGCGTAACCAGTGGTGTACACCTTGTTGTAAACTGTCTGAGCTGGCTAGTATATTCCTTCTGGTTGAAAATGTCCCAAATGTTATTTTGGCTCCTCATAAAACTTTTTAATCTCTCTCTGATATGTTTATTTAGTTTTTCATTTAATGATGGCTTCTGTTGCTTCATCAACATCTCCTTAAAACTCATATTAAGTGTTCCAGTAAACAGCTACCCAATGCCAAGTGTAAATGGTTGTCTGCCTCTCTGTGTTAGCACTGTAACAGATTGGCAGACTGTTCAAGGTATACCCTGCATCTCTCCCCATGGAGGTGAGATAGGCTCCAGCCCATCAATGACCCTGAATGGGTGAGTGGATGGCTAAAAAGAAAACAAGAAAAATGCTTCAGTGGCAGGACCCACTGATTGATAGGATTCACCCTTCTTTAAGGTTCTGGACATCATAAGGCTGCTCTGGTCTGCAACACAACACACAGTTAGGTACACAAGTGTTTTGGCAATTACAATTTCTGTAATTTGTTCAATCTTAGCCTTCGCTTGTGTCAGCATCTCTTTGGACCTCATACAAAGGGTTTCACTGGACATCTACTAAATGTAAGTTCAACACTTATCTCTATATCTCTGCTTAATTACTGATAGAATAATTATGGGAAAAGTCTTAAATGGCCACAAAACTGCTTGGCAGCCATGTATCCAAATGCTTTTGAGCCTCAAAGGTTTAAAAGAGTATAAAAATTTCTATAATTCCTAAACAATTAATGCAACACTTCTGTTAAACCCTTTATAACAACCCTGTTTCCTGCACCCTGTCCAGAGGTACTGGATCTGGGGGGCATCCGTTCATCTGGGTCTATGGCTTGCAAAGCCTTGCTCCCTGTGGGACGCTGTTCTTGATGGTGGGATTGGTTTGGGATGGCAGAATGGGTGGCTTCAGGGGTGGGCACACGGTTGTCATAGAGATGTATGGGCTCTTTCTTCGGTACTCTTAGGGGTGCATAACAAGTAAACTATCATGGTAACGGTAAATGGTAAATGCACTCACACCCATTCGCACATGCTCTTTGGTAAATGGTAAATGGCCTGTATTTGTATAGCGCTTTCTATGTAAGTCCTTTTTATCTAATGTTCACACACATTCTTCGCGCGCTGGATGCATCTGAGAGAAACTTGGGGTTACTATCTTGCCCCAAGATAATTGCCATGCAACCTTGTTTGGTTTCCCAGATGTACAAATCATGGCAAACCTCCTGGCACTTAACAGCGAACACTATATTATTCTATTTGTGTTGGTGGAACCAATTTTTGGCACAGTGTGTTTTGGGGTTTAAAAGCCATAGTAACTCTGTGTTTAGAAAAAAATGTGTCTCAATTATGGCCTGGCCTGTATTTATAGCGCTTTACTAGTCCCTAAGGACCCCAAAGCGCTTTACATATCCTGTCACACACACATTCACACACTGGTAATGGCAGCTACGGTGTAGCCACAGCCACCCTGGGGCGCACTGACAGAGGCGAGGCTGCCGGACACTGGCGCCACCGGGCCCTCTGACCATCACCAGTAGGCAACGGGTGAAGTGTCTTGCCCAAGGACACAACGACCGAGACTGTCCAAGCCGGGGCTCGAACCGGCAACCTTCTGATTACAAGGCGAACTCCCAACTCTTGAGCCACGATCGCCCCAATGTTCTGATACTCCTGATACATACGGGATCACTAAGGGTTTTTGCTTAGACGGCAGTTTCACCTTCTTTCCTGGATCGGCTGGAGCTTTTTTAGGTGCTTGGATGAGTGACAAAACATTTCTTCCACTGAAAACACTACATCCAGATGAACAGAATCAACTTTTTGAAATTTCCTTACCTGGATGCTGGCCTTCCTCGTGAGTTTATCCAACCTCTTCCTCTCAGCTGCAGATAAACTGCTGCTCCAACAAACCACACTGTAAAAAATGACAGATGCCACCACAGAGTCATAGAAGGTCTTTAAAAGCGCTCCCTGGACTCCAAATGACCTCAGCCGCCTCAGCAGGTAGCGTCTGCTCTGACCCTTCCTGTAAAGAGCATCAGTGTTGTGACTCCAGTCCAGTTTATTACTCAGGTGAACACCCAGGTACCTATAAGAGTCCACTATCTCAATGTCCACTCCCTGGATGTTCACATACTGTGGACGTCCTGTGAGGTAGTCCAGTATCCACTGGGACATGTGGTGGTCCACTCCCAATAGCTCCAGCCTGTCTCTCAGAAGTCGTGGCTGGATGGTGTTGAAAGCACTGGAGAAATCAAAGAACATGATCCTCACAGAGCTTCCAGGCTTCTCCAGGTGAGTCAGAGCTCGGTGCAGGAGGTAGATGATGGCGTCCTCCACCCCGATGCCAGGCTGGTAAGCAAACTGCAGCGGATCCAATGAAGACCTCACCAGGGAGCGCAGATGGTTTAGAACCAACCTCTCGAGGGTCTTCATCAGATGCGATGTCAGGGCTACCGGCCTGTAGCTGCTGAGGTCCTTGGGACGGGAGGTCTTTGGTAGCGGTACCACAGGAGGTCTTCCACAGCTGTGGTACTTTCCCCAGTGACAGGCTCAGGTTGAACAGATATCCTAGGATGCCACACAGTTCATCTGCACAGCATCTCAGGAGCCTGGAGCTGACGCCATCTGGACCTGCAGCCTTCTGCACCTTGATCTTGCGAAGCTCATTCCTCACTTGAAGTGCTGAGATAGAAAGAGTGGATTTTGGGGGAGGGGTGTGTATGTTGGAGTCCACAGAAGCCTGGGGTGGGTGTGATGGCTGGGAGCTGAGAGGTGTGAAGTCCTGAGATGAAGGACAGGCGGTCCCTGAAGATGAAGGAGATTGCAGCAGGGGGGACGATGCTGTGGTGGGCGTTTGATCAAACCTATTAAAATATTTATTTAGGTCATTCACCCACCCCAAGTCTCCTGCAGCCTGGGAGGTTGGTTTTTGTCCTGAGATTGTCTTCAGGCTGTTCCAATTTCATCTTCAGAAAATGAACAGCATGCTCTGGTTAGTCACTAGGAGAGTTTTGAAGCAGTTGGCTAAATGTTAGCAGAGTATAAGGCTGTAAACTTAAGAATTCACCCTATAACTTCTATCAGCAACCACATCTTCAGTGAACACTGACCCCGTGCCACTAACAGCCGCACATACATGCCTGTGCCATAACACTCCTCCACCATGTTTGACAGATTTAAATACATTGATGGTAACTATAATATTTGGACTGTGACATAATATAAAGACAGCAACAGCCTTTTTGTCTAATTTCATAATATGTTGAAACAGACGTGTTTAAGTAACAACTGTCATTTTCAGTTGAGTAATGAGTACTGGTTGAACAGCATGCCATATTAGGACAGAATTCAGCTGGCCTTTCTAACTATATAAGCCGAACACTTGTGTTTTCAGCAGGTATTTTCTCAGTCGGCTGCTCTTCTTCAGTAACCAGCCATGATCCTCCAGGCGGCTGTGCTCAGCGTGTTCTTGTGCTTCGCCCACACTTTTGTTATAGAGGTAAGCGTTGTAGTTAAGTATGCAGACGTAGATTTCCTCTCTGATTTGACCAAGATGTTTTATTTTGTTAAAATGGAATACAAGCTTTCTTCAAAACAAAACATAAGAACACAAAGAGAATACTTCTGTTTTTCATTTTATTAATTTATTGTATAAATTGGAATTTGCAATTTTAATCTTCAAGCATTTTTGAACTTGCAAACAAATCAAATACTAGTCCTTATAAACCCTTTTATCTTATTACAGGCACCTTTTAAAAAAAGTGTTGAAAACTCCGGTAAGACTTTGCTATTTTTTACATTTAGCACTTGTATGTCATCACACTATGAGATATGCTCTTATTCATGTTGATTTGTATTCATTTATTTATTTATTATAATTGGTCCATATTGGATTTGCCTGACTCCTTGACATGTCTTTGTGATGTTGTAACATGTGACCTTGTCCTTATAGAACAGTCAAACATATGTGCTTCATATTGAACAGGAAACAACACTGAGGGTGATGATTTCAGTATCTCGACACTGCTGGAGAAGGCTAATGCTAATCTTGGTATGTTCAACTTCACTTCAGTTCCTATTCATCAGTAGTAAATATACAGCTTTAGTAACAACATCCAGGGGCTAACCTTAAAAACTGAGTTGATGTGTTAATGAAACCATCGAAAGTACACGGAAAATATGTTTTTCTTTCCATACTTTACAGGAAAGAACTTGGATGAACCTCTGGTCATATTTGGAGACATAGCAGTGCCAACAGGTCTACAGAACGCTGATCCGTGTACGGCTCGAGGCTGTTTGTGGCCTAAAAACAATGGCAGAGTTGTTGTACCTTATCGAATCTCCGACCAGTACTGTAAGTCTAGATACATGGAAACATTCCTTTTTATTGAGCTTTCTGCTAATTTTTCAGGTTTAACTGAAAACTATTAGAATGATTTTCTCCGTCTGTAGGGTTTGTTTTGGGGTTTGTTTTTTTTTTCCATTAGTGGGCAAAGCTGCTTCCCAAACCTTTTCCCTCTGAGATTCCACATTTTAGTGTCCTCTAAATACAAAGAGAAATCAACGGGTTCTCATCTCAGGGCTTCAAATACAGCTGTTTGGTCAAAAGACTAAACACTAAACAAGTATTTTAATGACATACAGAAAGGTTTTTGTGTACAGAGAATACAAAGAGTTTAAAAATACTACCAAGGAAACTGAAAAGGACAGTTTATTAAAAAAGGAATTAGTCAGTTACACATAAATTTCCTCCGATATATAAAAAAAAACAACCTAAATATACATCAATCTGTATCAGATAGATGTAATATAAAATTATATATAAAGCTTTGCCAAAGCTTAGCATGGAGACTGATACAAGATATTCAGTCGCAATTTTGAAGACCTTAATGTTGCAGATAAAATTGCTGTTTTCTCGGTTCTAATGCCTTTTTCCTTCCATTGTGCTTTTGGCTCAATCCAACCCAAGAGGCGCTCTTTAATTCAAAAGTGCAGGAACTAGTTAGAGGAAACTACAAATAAAATTTACACCTTCTTCCAGTGTCACAATCAAAAAAAATTTATTTATTTTTTTTGGCAAGTTTGACAAGTTTTCTCCAGGGAATTACCTGACAAAGCATCCAGAGTGCCACAGACATTACACTGGGGGTGTCTTGTTATTGAACCTATGATATATCCCAATATAATAACACTCAAAGTTAGTTATAGTTAAGATATGTAGATAAAATGGGACAGATGTATTTTACCCTGAAAATTTCTGTTAGCTATGCCACATCAAAGATACTGGGGGGGAGCAGTTCAATGTTATGACCAATCTTTACAAGCTTCAAGCCAACATAATGAAGAATATTTTATGCTTTCTATAAATTCATTAAAGTTGTACAAAAACATCAGCTGATTTTGAGGCAGTAACATAGATTTGATTGATTTATAGGCCAGTGTAAGTAGTAAGCAGTTACTCAGGAGTAGCAGCATTGTGCTCAGTCTTAGTTGAATATAATGCCACAACAAACTAGAACCACAATACATGTTTTTCTGTGAAGCCCGCAGGGAACGTGACGTCATCGAGCAAGGTCTGAGGTCATTTGAAGCAGCCACGTGCGTCAGCTTTAGGCCCCAGAGCAGAGAAAGAGACTTTCTGGACATTCAGTCTCGTGATGGGTAAGTCCAACACAAAGTAGGCATTTATACTTGAATTCTACAGGCAAACTTTTCATCTAACGCAGGATGTTCTGAGTGAGGAAGCTGTTTTACTGGTTTGTCATAACATTTTTATTTACCGCTCTTTTTCAGGTGTTACTCTTTTGTTGGGCGTCGTGGGGGTGGCCAGATAGTGTCACTGAGTCGCCAGGGCTGTGTTTTCCACCAGATAGTCCAACACGAGGTGCTCCATGCCCTGGGCTTCGACCATGAACAGACGCGTTCAGACAGAGACCAACATGTACGCATCTTGCTAGAGAACGTCATCCCAGGTGGGTCACATGACAAACAACAGCCAGAAACAACAGTCAGAAAAAATCTTTAAGTGGTCAGGATGACAAAAAAAACTTCTACATAAATGACAGTTCATTTACCAACAGTAGAGCAATAATCATGTTTTTTTAGAATATTTCAAACAACCCAAAGTACAAACAATGTAGGGCAAAATGTGAAACATTCACAATAATCAAATCTGTCTGTGGAATTCTTTTATTTATTTATTAAATTTATTTATAAGTTTGAGACTAATCTATTTGAATTGGAAGAATGTTTTGTTCCTCTGTGCTTTTCAAAAAAAGATGTATGTATATGTGTGTGCAGCACGGTGGCACGATGGTTAGCACTGCTGCCGCACAGCAAGAAGGTCCTGAGTTCAATTCCACCATCAGGCCGGGGTCTTTCTGTGTGGAGTTTGCATGTTCTCCCCGTGTTTGCGTGGGTTCTCTCCGGGTACTCCGGCTTCCTCCCACCGTCCAAAGACATGCAGCTTGTGGGGATAGGTTAATTGGTTAATCCAAATTGCCCATAGGTGTGAATGTGAGTGCGAATGGTTGTCTGTCCCTGTGTGTTGGCCCTGCGACAGACTGGCGACCTGTCCAGGGTGTACCCCGCCTCTCGCCCTATGACAGCTGGGATAGGCTCCAGCGCCCCCCGCGACCCTGAAAAGGATAAGTGGACGCGAATGGATGGATGGATATGTGTTGTATATTAGTCTTTTGACCTGCATTCCTTCACTCACCCCAACCTGTCACGGCGGATGGCGCCCCTCCCTGAGCCACTGTCGCCAGAGTGCTTGCTCAAAGGGGGTCATATGATTGTTGGGTTTTTCTCTGTATGTATTATTGGAGGGTCTACCTTTCAATATAAAGTGCCTTGTTATGCTTTGGTGCTGTATAAATAAAATTGAATTGAATATTAACAAAAAGTATTAAAGTTAACCAAGTAATTTTATTGTCCAAACCTGAGTAGTTTTTGTATATTAACCCTGTCATGCATGAATTATGACAAACTCAATCAGGATTTATTTTCTTAAGTATTTGTATTCATCTTTAGGCATGAAAAGATGAACACAAATAAATCCTGATTGAGTTTGTCATAATTCATGCATGACAGGGTTAAATAATAAAATTACAATGAAACATTTCATACATCTATTGTAACATTAAACGACCAGTGGGTGTGACACATCAGTGTGTAATGGTTTATTTTGCAAGTATACCATCAGCAGTGACACAAATACAAGAACACAGCCTTTAAATAGCTGTAAACTGTAGCAACCACCATGCGTGAAAGGGTTAACATAGGCAAACATTATTCAAAATGGAAGTCAGCAGCAAAAGAAGTCACACCTCTTAAGTGTAAAAGTAGCATCAAAATAAATGCACAAGTCACTATGTGGAAGCGCAAGGTGAAATGACTTACAACTGTCCCAGCCCTCCCATGTCCATATGGAGAGCTCTCTCTTTAAAGCTGGAAAGCTCTTGTGTCCATGGACACAAATCAATAGATTTCTTTGTTTTTGTGCAAAGGAAAAAAGTTACCCAGGTGCTCTCACACAGCTGTAGGGTGAACTGAACTTTTGTGACATTTTAATGCTCAGCCTGGAGTAAGAGACAAACATTGACTGAGTTGTTTGAACCCCCACAGGGATGGAGCATAACTTTAGGAAAATCAACACAAGGAACCTTGATACTCCCTATGACTACAACTCTGTTATGCACTATGGAAGGTAAGATATCAGTTCACTCCCTGAACATGCTTCAAATGTATATTTATTTAAAAATTATGTCATAATAACACAGTTTTATTTGACACAGTTTTATCTGTTTTCAGTCCTTTCATTTTCAAGATTTTAATTTTCTACATCCTGTGTACATGTGTGTTGTAATCAACTTCTCTTACCACACTGGCCATTGAGAAAACCAGTAATTCAAACCAGTATAAAGCTGTGGTAACCAATGAAACAGTTTACACATTGAGTGCTATAACAATAATAATAATAACAATAATAATGATGATAATTTTATTATCAGTAATAATATTGCAGCTGCCTACAACGCACACATTTATAGACAAAAGCCACATTAGCTCGTCACAGAGTGCTAGCTTGCTGCCTAACGAGCAAATGCTACATGATGGACAATAATGGCGTGCAGGACTTTGCCTTTGGGCTCTTTTTGGGCAGATGATAAACCTTGAAACATTTATATCCCATTCTGTTAAATGTCTGAAATGGCAATAAGGACTCTGTTTGGCAGAGTCAATTAGGTAATAATTAGGTAGATAATCCTCTTGACTGACCTTTCCCTGCTGCATTGCTCAAGCTGAAGCCCATATTATAATTTCATGTTTTTAGCCTTCTCTTTGTAGTTGTTATAATGACACTTGTTTGAGACTACAATCACAATTTGCCTTACTACTGTGTGTTTGCACCCCAGGTTTGCCTTCTCAAGAGACAGGGAGCCAACCATCGTTCCCATACCCGATGAGAATGTAGCCATTGGCAGAGCTACAGAGATGAGTGCCAATGACATCCTTCGAGTGAATCGCCTTTATACCTGCAGTATGTACCTCGTTTCTTTTCGTTTCTTTTTCTTTCCTTTTTTATAAAGAAAAAAGGAAGCTGGATTAACAGTTGGAAGGTCAGTGGTTCAGTTCTTGGCTACTCCACTCTAAATTCAATTAGTTTAATTCAATTTTATTTTTATAGCGTCAAATCACAACAACAGTTGCCTCAAAGCACTTTATATTGTAAGGTAAAGACCTCCCTCCTGTCTTATAAACAAGTAAACAGAGGTCATGGCAGCCATCTGCTTCGACCGGATGGAGGTTGCAGGAAGTGAGTTTTAGTTTCTGCAGCACTTGGACAGTATTGGACAGTATTTACATATAAATAGTTATTGCACAGTGGTGGTTTATAGAGGGAATCCTTGGAATGTGGGTGGGACTGTGTTTATCAGTGCATGTGTGAGTTCTCTAAAAACTTTAGATAATATCTTTAAAATGATAGCGGCACAAACGAAAATTTTTGTAGCACAAACCAGCAGAAATGTAGCACAATTGATTGACACCAATTTTGTTTGATTTTGTTTGGAGTGGTTAGCACCAGAGTGTGAACAGACAGGAAGTCAGAACATCCAAGTCTGAGGCTCTCGATTTACTGGTGGATTTATGTCCCTGCTCTCACCTATGGTCACGAGCTTTGGGTAGTGACCGAAAGAATGAGATTGTGGATACAAGCGTCAGAAATGAGCTTCCTCCAAAGGGTGGCTGCCCTCTACCCTAGAGATAGGGTGAGGATTTCAGCCATCCGGGAGGGGTTCAGAGTAGAGCCGCTGCTCCTCCACATCGGACGAAGCCAGTTGAGGTTGTTCGGGCATCTGACAAGGATGCCTCCTGGGTGAGGTGTTCTGGGCATGTCCCACTGGGACAAGCCCTGGAGTAGACCCACTGGTGAGATAATATTACACTTGTAGTCAAGACCGCCTAATCCGAGACCAAGAAATAACCAAGTTAAGATGAGACAAAGACCGAGACAAAAAAAGTCTTTAAACTGCAGCCAGATGCTGTTTCGTTTACGGGTGTCAGGCATATTTATGTGTTTTTGCTTTCACACAGCCCTCCTCACCGCTGTCCACTATCTTACTCACTGAGAGGACAGACGCACGCTCCACGTGACTGTCGCGTCTCTCACCCTCTCTGTTTTTCACATAATGATATTATCCTATATCCTCGCATGTGATTGGCCGCAGTATGGAGGGATTGGAGCATAGCTGAGCCCCTGTGTGAGAGCCGAGCAGCTCTCACACAGGAATTTAAGGAAATTAGGTGAGGGTAGAAATGACTGAAAGATTATCAGGCTCTATTTTGAGTTTTGTTCAAAAAAGAATGACTTCATATAGGAAAAAAAATCACATATGCAGGACACCTTAAACTATTTTTTTAATTAAGCAGCAAGGCAGAACAAAGTCGGGGCTGCATCAAACTGTCTGTATTTCTTAATTGCAAATGGCACCAAATTGTATTCAAACTGAGCCACACTTATGGAGCTCCACAATTCTGTTCCTGGTGTTTTGGTTGACATCTCCTGATGTTCCCATGTCACAGAAACAGGCTCTGTGTTTTGCCTTATATGCATCCACAGCTGTGCCACCAGTTTACTCACATGGACTCTACGAACCAATCAGAAGCTTCTTCAGCTCAGAATGGAATCGTCTGCAGTTTTCTTATTAATTAACAATAAACTTAGTGTATATGTACTCCTACATTTGATGAAAGTGATAAAAATAGAAGCTCTGTCTCTCTTTATTCTGACATTTAACTAATTCGAAAGATATTTCAATATTTATTTATCTAAAACAGAAGTTTACTCTAAACTGATGTTTAACAGTAAAAAAAAGTTTTTATGTTTTTTCCATAAAGTGTAAACATCTGGTTTCAACTGTGAATATCCTGCTGTGTATTGAAATCCCTCTTGTTTTGCATAGATATACTGAACAACATCCAAAGCATAATATATAAAATAACATCTACCAGAGTTTTTTCTTTGAAAGAAGCTCCTTATGTCCATTGTTGTGTTCATCAGTACACAACTGAAACCGATTGAGAGGGTTTGTTTAGCCGTGGAGGGAAACAACTGAAAATATGAAATGAAAGCTAAGACTCTAAAAAATCAGCGTTGCTGTTCGGCTTTTTATTTGTCTATTTGTTGATTCACTCGAAGAGCAAGTAACGCAACCAAGTGATCAGTTTGATATCAATCTTTTGTGATACACCGTCATATTTACATTATTAGTTCAGTATGAATGATTTGCTTTGGTACCTGGTCAAACTTAAGCTCTCCTCTGTCTGCAGCAAACTCGCAGGCAGCAGCTTCTCGCTCACATGTGTGCTGTGCTCAGTCGCCTAGTGCCTGAGCTCGGATCATATCAAAATTAGGGGGAATTTACGACGGTGCGCTCTGTGCTTCGTGTAGAGATGGCACGATACCACTTTTTTATGTCCGATACGATACCGATATCATAAATTTGGATATCTGCCGATACCGATATGAATCCGATATAGTGTTTTTTAATCAACAAAACTGTTTTTTAAAATATCTTGCTGCATTTTGCAAGTCTGCAAGTTCATACTCAAGTTTAAAACAACAACTACACTAAAGCTATTCTGTTATACCTGTATACAAAAAAAATATTTCATAGTTCAGCAATACTGATCAATCTAATAAACTTAGACCTACACCATCCTCCCTATTCTGGTATTTTAAAGAGTACTTAGCGTAAATATTAAGCAACCTAACTAATAGGGTTCCAACTCCCAGCAACAACAAAAATAAATAAATAAAAAATAGGGAACCACCCCTCACGCTCCACCTCATGATGCTTAATCGACGTAATCAACCTTAATTTGATGCAGTGTGAAAAAAAATGCACAGAAATCAATTATTTTTCAAGAAATATTAAATAGATTCAACATCTTTCTTCAACAAAATTGCAGACTGCACAGATGGTACCTTCCCAAAGTAAAAAGTACTATAGCTTACTAGGGTATATATTAGACTTAATAGTCACTATATACAGTAATTGACTTCTATTCATTTTACATCAAATTAAAACTTTGGGTGTCAGATAATTATTTATTAAAAGCTAGACATTTTAAATGAGAACAAGAAAGAAAAGTATGTCTTTGTGCCCCCTTTCCCCTGTTCATGCCCTATCGGCCCCCCTGGCTAAACTTTGCTAGATCCGCCCCTGCACAGTTACAGCCGTCAGCTAAGTAGAAAAAGATCCTCGAGTAGAAAGTAATAATAAATAAATTCTAACAACAGCTTATCAAGCTTAAACGTGCTGCTGTTGTTCAGCCGCTGGTTTCCTCTTTCTGGTGCAAAGTGGGCCAAAAAAACAAGAGAGACGGACTCGCGACAGAAAAGCCGATCAGCTGATCATTAAGCAGTTTCATGATTGAAGTAGCAGCCGAGAGCGAGAGGCAGTCGCTTGTTAAGCTTAACGTGGGAATGCTTTACAACATTCAGAGATGGACTTACACACTTGCTTTACTTCTCTCGGGGATAACTTTGTCGAGATGAAATGCCAGGTTGCTAGCGAAGCTCCACATGCTATCCAGACCACCGACAGGTCCGGCATGCCACAGCTGCTCTATCACGTGATGCTACTGCTCCGAGTGCTAACGTTCTGAGGTGAGTTACGGCGTGTTGCAAGTTTTGCGAGGTGCTTTCGTGATATTTA